AAAAGTAGTAAAGTAAAGTAAAAATATCAGAAAAATCTACTTGAGTACAGTAACGAAGTATTTGTACTTCGTTACTTCCCATCTCTGGTAGCATCAACCATGTGATGTAATGTCACTGGCATGCGGAGGCCACAAGCCAATCCGTTCCCTGCAGTGGAACAGCTTAAGCCAGGAGGAACTCTTCAAGCTAGGTTAAAAACTGGCTTCATCTCTTGACTGATTATTTTCTTCGTCTCTCTCTTTGTTTTGCTTCTAGTTGCTTTGGGCTTTCTGCTCGTTCTGCACATCGGTAAGTCTCTGCTGTGAAGCTAAAAGTTGATAGTTTTGAGCAAGAATGCTAAATATCTTTTCCCTTTAAATGTTCTCAGCTGTATCCAATAAGCTGGTGTGTCACATGACCAACTGGGCCCAGTACAGACCAAGTGGTGCTAAATTCACTCCAGACAACATTGACCCTTTCCTCTGCACCCATGTTATCTACTCTCTGGCTACAATCAACAGCTTCAACCAGATTATTCCCGTGGAGTGGAATGATGAGCAGCTGTATGGCAGCCTTAACAGCCTCAAAAACTAGTAAGTCCCCATAGTTACGTGGAAATATCTAGAATGGGTGCAATACTGATGAAAGGGGAAGACTGTGGTCCAACAACCAAAGGATAACACTTCTAAGCCTACCAAGGAAAGTTTACTCTTAGTTGTTTAGGTTGTTAAAGATAGGCTCTGTGTGCACCTCCTTGAACCCCTACCTCTCTGGTTCTTTTCCCTGAAATGAGATCACTCAGGACAAACTAGTATGCTAACTACTATGTGTTAAATAACCAGGAGCCATGACAACAGATTCTGATGGAAATTGTAATCTTACGCCATTCAGAGAAGTTGCTTAGAATGTACAGAAGGCAGCTGCTAACCTCTGGGCTCACCTCTCAGGAAGTTGCCCCGATTAGCAGTTAAAAAGGCATTTTATACATCTCCAGTCTGCCACATCATTACATCACACACTTTAGAAGATGAGGAGACATTCATGGCTTCAGCCTTATCAAGATATTACACTTCGTTCTTAGCTGAAGGACACTGCTCCAAATCTTTGCCACGAACAGAAAGAAGATTATTATTGTATATCCAGACAGAGGAACTGTCTTAATTGCAATAAAACAACAGTTCTTACACGCAACAGGCAGCCAATACCAAGGTGGAATAAACTCACACATCTTCAATGATAATTATCCTAGCAAGGTTGAGGCTTCTAATTATCCTTTAACCTCTAATTTAGGAGCTTTCATCCTTCCTAAGGAGCAATCGGCCGGACCTTCACCCTCACATAATTAATGTTGAAAGTATGAATCTTTGGTTGACATCTGTCTTGGTGATCTTGGCAGCCATGAAATTTGTTGCTGACCTGAGACACTTTTAGGGAGATGCTAATGGGAATGTTGAATCAGGCTGATTTTCTAAAGCCGGGTATACGCTGTACGATTCTTTGCTCTTTTTG